CAGAACACTGTTGACGGGATACTGTAGCGCAGATCACTGTAGGTGGGGGACTGTACATCGAGCACTGTAGAACTGCCACTGTTCATGCAGATCTGGCCGTCGATCCTGGATCGGACGGTGTGGAGAGTGGGGCCAGTCATCATACTGTTCATCGATGCCTTGCTCACATCAAGGCACTGGATCTCATTCTGGCTGAAGCATATGCAGCTGTAAATGAGTTATTCTTGGCTCAAGATATGAGAGCCATAGGATCACACTGCAATCTGATTGCGAGAGTGTTATCCAAACTTTATGTGATGGTGGTGTATCAGCAACAGCAAGCTCTGCTCTGATATTTTTCATGACTGCCATGTACTCCCTCTGTTCCCTTTTATAAGATGTTTTACACATTTCAGACACGCCCATAACAGTTCAAAGCGGACTGGCTAAAATGTCTTATAAAAAAGAACGGGGGGAGTAACAGCTAGTGGATTTGACAAAGCTAGATTTGAACACTGCCCAAGGGAAGCTACTTTGGGGGCACATGAGGTAGCTAGGTCTGTTTCTCTACTTCCTGAAGCTTGTACTTGGGTCGATGAACCCCCTAGTTTCCTCTTTGCCTTTTCTTCTGAACGATGTAACTGTCGTTGTTAATCACTAAAATGGCCGAGTAGCTTTCCGTCAAAAAATTGTGGATAAGAAATGCACAATTTAGGTGTGACCGAGTCTTCCATTATGTAACATTTTCGTTCTTTATGTGATCCCTTGTTGTTTACAGTAATCTTTGTCAGAAATATGTCCTTACAGCAAATCTCTCTCCGAGTCTGTTTACATAATTCCCAGTCCGGATCAAAGTCCTCGGCCCTGGATGACAGGAAAGTAGCATGTGATTGATCCAGGTCATGAAAGTGTGACTTCTTCTGTACTAGCAGATGTGAGCTACAAAATTGTATGTTAAATGTACAGGTTTGTTGATTTAAACATTTCCGGAGAAAGAACTACAACAATCTGAATTTTTTTGCTGGGATAGTGCAGTATCTACATCAAAGTTGGAACAGCTGCCAGGTTCCAGTGCGACAGCTGACACGCCCTACTCCTGGTCCTCATATTGCTATGCTGAAAATGATCCTGCCTTCGCACTCCCTTCGGTAAGAATCTCAGACAAGCCATCAACCAAAATTAAATCCTGCATTCCTAGTAGAAAAAAAGAGAGTTAAAGCCTAGGTGAGACATCAAAAAATTTAACAGATTTCAGCTAATTTCCAGATGTAAGATATCCTAATTCCTTTGTTACAATTTCGGTGTTTCCATCGCCAAATTGAAAAACCGAAACATTGTTCATAAGCCAATGGAGACAACAAAGGGCGACCCACTGGTCAGTTCTTTTACCTTGTCACTGGCTGAACGCTGATGGGATTGGTCCATGGAAGGATGTTCAGATGGCACACTTAGTGCATGCAGACGGACTAGCTCAGGTAGCACAACAGATTCCAGATCGGGGCGGTCTCTATGCCGCAGCTCGCAGCATTTCAGTGCAAGCTCGGCAAACCTCTTCGCCTCCTCCACCGGCCAGCCAGTCACTCTGCTATCCAAGAGATCCTCAAAGGTCCCTTCTTCCAGTGCATCAGATACAGCGTAGGCGAGCCCCATGGCGTCCTTTGCGGTGATCATCTGAAGATAGATAATGCCGAGGGCATACACATCAGATTTTGTGCTGACCAGTCCTGTCTTCTGGTACTCAGGATCAATGTAGCAAAAGGTCCCCGCTGCGTCGGTCATCCGGTACTGCGTCTTTGTGTCATCCATCGATCGGGGGATGATGCGGGCGAGACCAACATCGGCGATCTTGCAGACGAAATCTTCGCCAAGGAGGATGTTCCCAGGCTTGAGGTCTCGGTGAACAAAGGCTTCAGGCTTCATTTTGTGTAGGTAGAGCAGGCCAGTGGCTAACTCCACTGAAATCTTGAAACGGAGCTGCCATGGCAGTGGCGGAGTGTTTGAACGACAATAGAGCCGGTCCTCGAGGCTACCATTCGGCATGTACTCGTATATTAGGCAACCATACTCGGGACAAGCACCCACTAGTTGTACCATGTTGGGATGCCGAAGGTTGTTCAGCAGATCAATCTGATGATAACAAAACTTATCAATTACATTACTGAAAAAGTCAAAATCCTTTCATTTTATAATGTTTTAAAAAAATCACTGCATTATCATACAGCTAAATGCTATCTCCATCCGAATAATGTTGCCTTTGACTTCAGTATCTGGCTATTTGTAGTGAGAAAATTGACTAAGTTGAAGTGCGGGAACTGTGGATGCAACCTTTTTTGTTTTGTTAAACATTGTAAGGGGCTGGTTCGGAAGAATGATATTTCCCGGTAAAATTTTGGTATTGAACTTTGCCAGGAAATACTTCTCTTCCAAACCGGCCCTAATGCCAATACATATCCTGACAACATTTCTCTTTTAGTTTGGAAAAGAGAAATTGTAGTGGCAAAAGGCAGTTTTGTCAAGCAAAATGAGCTATGACCATACCTCCTGTTGAAACTGTTTCAGGCCTTGAGTTACATTGGAGTGAAGAATCTTGACTGCAACAGGGGTATTACTAAGTGTAGCTTTATAGACTGGTCCATAACCTCCTTCCCCAACCTTCAGGTCTTCTGAGAAATTATTGGTCGCCTTCGCGATTTCATTTGGATTATACAATCTGCACTCTAATCTAGTAGGGAGACACTCTAGTATTCTTTTAGTCTCAATTGGCCTTGGAAAGGGTTTGCTGTTCAATTCAAGTTTATGTTTCTCCTCAGGAGTGGATCCATATATATCATTTCGAGGTGAGAAAAATTTTGGAGGCAAGCGTCGCAACATTGGGTTAACTTGTTTCTGGGCACTGTGATCCATAAATTCCTCTGTGATTCTTTCTCTATGCTGAGGGTCGGAAGATAAAGTTTCAAGTGTCAAGAGGTTTTGCTTTGGGCCACGAACCGCTGAATTCGGTTTGGCACCTTGTCTACCAAGTAAAGGACCATCTTTTCGTTCATCAACGGCATGCAAGTTTTCTGTCCCATCTTCGTCCCCAAGAGGTAACTGCGATCCCAAAAGAATGCTTCCTTCAGATCTAGTGCAAGATCAGAACCAAAGACACAAAATGGTAAACAATAACCGGTACCTCTTTGTAGTTCCGAAGCATATTGCCATTCCTTTTCTGAAATTGCCTCAGATCAGCTTTCACATCATCCTACAAATGACATGGTGTTGGTAAGACTTGTATATAACTGATTTTAGCAGTTCCGTATGCCATAAAGAATTAGGATACAAAGCTTCTGGTAGAAATGCTCGAATCATACTGCTTGATAGTTCGAAGCTGCTGAAGCACATTCTCCAGTTGGGGTTAAAGAGCCATAGGCATTATATTCAAGACTAAGTGCATTATCATCAATGCCCAAGTATTCTTCATGTGGAGCCTGGAATGGATGCTCATTGTCCTTATTTAGCAAAAACAAGGTTTCTCTACGATTCTCGGGATATTCTGGAGACAAATGATTGCCTTGTTTATTCACAACTCTTATGAATTCACTTGGACATGAAGATGTTTTTGAAAGATGTGAATCAGCACTTCTCTGTTGAACTAGTGCCTTGAGGTTGCCATGTTGTGCTGCTTCATCAAAATTGGTACCGATGTGCGCAGCAGCGTGTGTCGACATCAGCCTGACCCGAGATCAAATAGAATAAGAAATAACTATCCCCCTCAAAAAAAATACAAGCCAAAATAGAAACGGTAATTCACAATTTTCGCAACATCGAAGGGAACATTAAAATTAGAAATAGTTAATTAACCGATATGACATATAAAATAAGATATCTGCTATGAACTTTAGCTGCATAGAAAATAGCTCGACAAATGGTCGTGAATAGTTGGGTTTATTCTACTGGCTATGGTCATATTTTACATTGCTGCATTGTAGGGGGTAAGAGTCAAATTCGACATTCAAAAGGATAAAATTGTCCTTGCACATGATCCATCAACATTATTTGGAAATGATCAAACATAAACACTCCAATATACAAAAGGGAAGAAGCTAATTGGAGCCAATGACATCCTTAAATTATTTGCATTAATACTTGGCAAAGTATGTACAGTTACTTAGATCATGAGGCATGACTAGATTGCCAAAAAAAAATATGGGGTTCAAGTTCTATTATATTTGAAATAACATATGTTGCAAATTATACATACCCTGGATTTCTCATAATATTCTATGCTGAAATATTCATCAATGTTTTGAATGTTAAATCCATTGTTCTTGGTTTTTGTTACTGGTACTTCAAATCTCATGATATTCTCAGAGAGGGAAAAGACTGAGGGGAAATCCCATACTAAGAAGGGAAAGACACCAAAAGGAAATTCCATACTGTATTAAATATTAAATATCAAGTTAGCTTATAATATATTAAATATCAAGTTAGCTTATAATATATAAAACTTAACATTTACTTATTGGCTTGCATACATTCTGTTTTGGAATTATTTCAACCATGCTGTGCAAGAAAGTAAAGTTCACAAGGTTTAGATTTGCTCATGGTTTCTAGTATGGTATGGCCACCTAAAAGGGCTTGGCATATAATGGTATGGTTGTAGGAACGTATTGTGTATTTTATACTTTATGAATGTAATTGGTGTTTCCATATAGTTAGATTTGTTTAAGTATATGGTCCAGCATTCTCCATCGCATGAGCTTTGGGGTGAACTGTCTTGTGCATAATTCTACATAGTATGAAACCACACAAGACTTGAGGTCGAGGCCCAGCTAGAGAAAATGAAAATAAATAAATAAATATCGCAGCCTACTTTCAGTCCACATTAGGCCCAAGAGAGCCATAAATGACGGCAGTGTTACATTGTACACCTTTCTCATCAGCTTGAGCTTTTGGGTGAACCGACTAATGCATGTAATTCTACAAGGTTTTCATTAAACTAAAACTAAGCTCAGCCTCGAATCCCTGTACATGTAGTACTTACGCAAGACCCTTCCCTGTATATCCTCAACCGTTGTAACTTTGTGCATATTCTATTACATATTTTTCTACAAAATTTAATGCCATGATCTCCCTACAGTTTCCGGTAAACAAAGCTCAGCCAATCAACAGCTTAGAATGGACCATAATCTTTCTGGTAGGCAGGTAAGTAGAGCATTGTAGAAGACCTATCTATCACCCTATTTGTGATAGTTAGGGATGTAGACTCACCTGTAAGAAGGTTCTTCGCCAGGGAACTTGGGTGTTGGTTCACCTGCAAATTACACGTGTGCTTCATGAGCAAACAAAGAATAACCTATTAGAGATAAATATTGTACTCCCTCCGTCCCGAAATAAGTGTCGCTGGTTTAGTACAAAGTTGTACTAAATCAGCGACACTCATTTTGGGACGGAGGGAGTAGTACATCTATAAGAATAAAAGTGTCAAGTGAAATACAAACTTTGTACAGCTAAAGGCCCATTGCCAGGTGCATCAGATTTCATATCCTCTTTGCTTGTATCATTGTCGATTGCATGAGTGGCTGGCCTAAAAGTAGATAACTTTCCTTTTGCAATCACATACACTGAACAGAAGTTTGGTGCATTTTTTGTAACAGATGTAGCGACATCCATTTTCCAAATTGTTCTGCGATGGTTAAGAAAATTATTGAGCTCATCAAAGTACGGCAAGTTTTGCTCTAAAAAGGAGTACCATCAAATAAGAGATAATGACACAGAGAAGTTGTTGTAATGTATATAAATCACCTTGTAAATGCACTCTTAGATGATGCTCCCAGCACAATCTTGTCAACATTATATTTTACAACAAAGTCCACGATAGCTTTCGACACATCTGTTCCATCAAGAATGACATCCCTGCATTGCAACTGTGGATATTAAAGTAAGTCAGCCAAAAGGGAGTTAGTAACTTATGATGGCACCCAATTACTAGATTTATCTGCACATCAGACAACTGTGGCACTAACTGGGATTCATGAGCAGCCACAAATGCAGAAAGAACATTTACTCGATATTTTGGCACTTGTGGTATCGGTTTTTTTTATATTGACATTTATCTAGTGCTTCTTATATTACTATTAAAGCTTAAAATAAGCTTTCATGCTCGTTCCTAGAGAAATTCCCAAACAAATCTGAAAATAAAGGTAGAATGTACACCGCTTGGTTTGGTGGGTCCAAATGCAAATAAGTTTGATATGGTTACATTTTTGCATGGAAATTGTGCTGTAAATTCAGCTCGTTTGGCAAAACGATGAAAGCATATTGATTTTTTGAAACACAGGGGCACAATAATTTGCTGAAATTTTGAATGTAACCAGACACAAAGTGATGATGAAATAGGAAACGCATACCCCTCTTCTGCTGCAGAAGCATTGGAAAGGCAGCATCAGCTCTTTGGTCTGAAGGTCCAGCTGGGCCAGAAAACAAGCCGCGACATCCTCCTGCACGTGCGACGTGGAGAACTGCTTCCCGCCTGCACACGCGTAGATCGCATATTTGAGAATCTGCTATAATTCCGTACTATCAAAATCGATCCCATCGTTTCCACGGCCGGCCAGATGAAGCCCCAAATGGAGAGCGTACCGGCGGGGTTGAGCGCGGCGTTCTTGCGGCGGACGTGGACCAGGAAGAAGGGCTGGTAGCGGGAGAGGACGTGGTCGGCGGCCCACTTGAGCGCGTGCTGGCTGCTCTTGTCGCCGTCGACGGCGACGGCCGCCTTCCCCTCCGCCTCGCCCCCTCCGCTGCCGCGACCCTTGGGCCCCGAGCGCCTCATCGCGGCCGTGAGGGCGACCGCCTTCTTGCCGGCGGCGTCGTGCCGCTTGGCCTCCGTCAAGATCGGAGTGGTGTGCAACATCGTGTGGCGGAGGCGGGGGAGGGGGAGGCCGGGGGAGGGAACGCATCGGCGGCGGCGAGGACGATGGGATGGAGGATGGCGCGGTGGGGTGGGGTGGTGGTGGGGATCAAAGCGCGGGAATGGAGGAGAGGGGACGCCGCGAGCTTGGCGGGGAACGCCTCCCCTCGTCTCTCGGTCGGGTCGCTCCACGCCACACGGGGTTGGGCCTGGACTCGAGTGTGGCCAGGCATGGCATGTTTTTCTTGAAAAAAGAAAAGGAGGACATGTAACTTTATTCAAACTTCTCAAAACTACAGGTACAATGATTTGGATCATAAATATAAAATAACTCCTAGAACTAAGAATTATTGTGAAAATTTCAGAATCATCTTCTTTATGGTATCAGTTTTTGCAACACGAAATGTTGTCAAGGCTTTGCGAAAGAGACTATAGTTAGGTTGGAGAAGCGACACCGCCACTCGTGCACCAACACAAATTTGACTGAAACCCTCTTAGGTTGCCTATCCATAAGGATGAAAAGACATGAGCATCAAAGTGCTCGGGTCGGGGTATCACCTGAAAGTAGAAGGCATCAAAGCACAAGAACTTTAACATAATGTCAAAGTATGACTCCAAAGTCATAATAGACCGCATCAATAAAACGACATATAAAACACTAACAAAGACTCGTCAGATCCGTATAAATGAATCTGCATGGACACATAAACCTAAAATCCGCAAGGTTCGGCGCATCAAACCTACAAAGACACGAACTACCTCGATCTATGGTCCCACTCCATAAGACTTCGTCGTAGCAGGAGAAGATCAGAGTACGTTTGAAAATGCAACTAATCCCGGGGTGGTTTTGATAATTCATAACAACATATGCATCATTGAACTAATGCCTACTCACATAATATTTCAGAAAGTTCAATCTAGGTATGGCAATAAGATGTGAATGTGGACCCCTCAAAATGCGAAGGCAAACATTGGCAAAGCTCCAAGACTAAATTTTTGGTTAAGTGATCAAATATCACATTGAGTCCATAGGAAAGCCAATACTATTAAAAGGGATGAGGTTTTGATCATGAACTGTTTGCTCAAGTGCTTAGAGATCGATATTGCTCCAAAACCCTCAGTCACACTCTCACTTCTTTCTATGTTCAAAACTCTAATGTCTATCTCGGTCCCACCGAACTACATCCAGTTGGGCCCACCGAGAAACACTTGACATAGCCACTAACTAACCCTAGCAATTCGGTCCCACCGAGATAACCCTTCGGTCTCACTGAAGAGCACTTGCCAACCTTCTGTTGCCTATCGATTTCATCTCTGAATTTCTGAGTGGTTTTGATCAATCTCACCGAAGTGTGGAAAGTGATTAGGTCATATTCACCCATCAGTCTCACTGAGCTATTCCATCTGGTCTCACCGAAAAGCCTAAAGTTCAAACCTTTTGCACTAGCCAGTCTCATCGAGTGTTTACACCCGGTCCCACCAAGTTGTGCATAAAGGGGTGTAACGGTTAGATTTTTTGTGTTACTTATATATACCTCCACCCATTCCACCAACTCTCAAAGAGCAATCAGGACGAAACTACCACTTCTCATGTCCAATTCTGAGAGAACCACGTACACTTGTGTTGAAATCAAGGGGGGTCCACTCCAACCATTTGATCATTGATTTTTGGCCCCCTCAAGTTGCATTCCACTCCAACCCTTCTCCTACTACCATGCCAAATCTGTGAGAGAGTGTTGAGTATTGAGGAGACTATCTTTTGAAGCACAAGAGCAAAGAGTTCATCATCAACAACAATATCTATTACCTTTTGAAGATAGTGTCTCTTAGATTGGTTAGGTGTCACTTGGGAGCCTCCAAGCTCGTGGAGTTGAACCAAGGAGTTTGTAAGGGCAATGAGATCGCCTACTTCGTGAAGATCTACCATGAGTGAGGCTAGTACTTCGTGGACGTAAACCATGATGGCATACTTCATGGACCCTTTGTGGGCGGAGCCCACCGTGGACTCGCCCAGCCATTACCCTCTATGGGTTGAAGTTTCCATTAACGTGGACATACGATAGCACCATCTATCAGAACCACGCCAAAAATCACCATTATTTTCTCCGACCCCTCCTTTACGCTCATATGCAAAATCTTTACTTTTCGCTGCCTACTATCTAGACTTGCATGTGTAGGGTGCAACAAGACTTGTGAAATTGCTAAAAACTTGCCAGGAACTAAAACTGTGAAAATGTTATGTTTTTATCTGGTCAAGTAGTCTAATTACTTCCTCTAAACCTACTTACGATCCTACAACCTTTGTTATCAATGTCATTGCACTCTCCACTAGGACGTTACCCGATGAAGACTAAAGAGATCATGCTTTTAAAATTTCCGAATACGCCCACAGAGATGCAAGGGCCCCACACCTTCCAACATGGCAGGGTGAGGGGAACTGACGAAATTCGTGGCGGATGGCCCTATGGAACCCTAGCTTGGCATGGAATGCTTCTATGATGCTAGGATGAAAGTCTACCTGAATGTATCTAGCTCCTATTACATTTTTGTTGAGAGACTTATTATTTTGTCGGCAAGCAAAATTCTAAACTCACTATAATGTATAATTTTCTTAAGTAACGAGCCTCCTTGTTGATTTCCGTTAACAACCCATCAATTTACATGACAGACACCAAAAATTCAACTGAACACTAAAATGCTTAGCAAGAAGCCAGGCATGGGTATGACAACCTCCAAACAGAGGGAGTGCTCCTAAAGTCATATTACAATCACCAAGAGAAATATAATGTAACGACGAGGATAATGCACCAGTAGTTAGAGTTCAAAATGATCATAACATGAAGGTTTTTTAGCTTGCTCCATATCTAATTATGGGATCGTTGATGCCTAGCCATGTCTACTGCTGTAGATTTTTGTCATCACTTGCTTGATCATCAGGACGACGTCTTCATCAATGCTTCTTTGCCCTTGGATTTTCTACAAGATGGCCTAGTTGATAAGATGATGACACATTCTGGAAATGACAGCTCTAGGATCATCAGGAAAATTTCATTCAAAGAGCATGCTGCATTTCTAGTTTTCCAAATGGTCCAGCACAAAGCAGTCCCACCCAGGAGAGCTACTTTACATTGACCAGGAGGAAAGAGGTTTAACCATTCCCCCACCAGGTCATCCAAACTCTCGGGAAGACTAACCAGGTCAAGGGCGAACATAAAAGCTATCCAAGTAAATTTGGACATACTACATTCAAAACATAAGATGCTTCAATGTTTCTACATGCCCACGAAAATGGCATTGATCAATTCGAGTCAAACCCCTCATAAATAGATTGTCTTTGTGTTATTGAGCATTAGCCATGATCATATATTGATTTTAAGGAGCATGTTCACCTTATAGACATGTCTATATCCCACCAAATCAGTTGCTTTGAGTTGAAGGTAAAATTCAATGACTAAGAAATAATCTTTGGCACCTAGTTTGCATTGACACTATTTCTCTTCTGGGAAAGAGTAACTTCATCCACAAAATTTATGAGATCGTCTCATTGCTCAACGGTTTCACCCCACATAGTCCTCTTGAATTGTAAGCTTCCAAATCTTCACTTTTAACGTGTTGCAGAATTATCATCTTCATGAAGCAAATGCATACAATATGGAAAAAAATCCAGCTAATTAAGGGTATGTCCTCACCTCATATATCTTCCCAAAACAAAGTAGTGGCACCATCACCTAGAGATATCTCTGCTATCCTTGGAACATGGGATTAACTTTAACCAGGCTCTGCCAAAAGTGGGGGCCTCCAACTCTAGCACCTATACCGGGCAAGGTTTGACAACAATTAATACCAAACCTCACATGTGTTCTTTAGTTTCCAGAGCCACTTGCACAAAAAACTTTGGTTCATCACTTGTAGATCAAGTAAATCAAGGCATCCACAGTCATTGGGCAAGCACATTGTGTCCCAATTCACCAAACGATACTTTCTTCTATTCATGCTCTCTTGCCACACCATCTTTCCCGCGCAAAGTTCCATTTTACTCAAGGGTCCTTTCTGGGCTTCCAGGAAGGAAATCATGTATAAAGGGATGGTAGTTAGACATGAATTGGTCAATGTGACCATCTATTGTTTAGATAGAATGTTTCCTTTTCAAAGGGTCATCTTTTTCTCAATTTTCTCCTCCACAAAATCCCATTAAGATTTGTTGAGTCTTTTAAAATCTATAGGCCGGTAACTCTTTGAAAATCTACAGGTAAGGTTAGATATTGCAGAGGCAAAGACCCAACAACACATGTAAAATTTTACTTATATTGTTGTTCTCTTTTACTGTCTCTCCTAATAAGTAGAATAGTTTACTCTTATGAATTGAGCCCTGAAACTTCTTCAAAAACACATGGAATGTATTTCAAGTTTTTGGCTTCAATTAGGTCATCTTTCATAAGAAAACGGTGTCATCAACATATTGCAACAATGTCAGACCTCCATCAACTAAATGAAAAACAAGTCTAGAAATTAAATTATCTTATTGACCCTATTTGACAAACAAAGATAGGCCACCAGCTATGATGTCAAATAGGAGGGGTGCCAGAGGATCCCCTTGTCCGACATCCTTAAAGTTTGGGAAGTAGGCACCAATTTGGTCCTAGTGTTGGTCGACGGCATGGGAGAGAAAGAAGTTCCTCAATGGAACCTTCCACGAGGGGCAGCGATGTGTGTAGAGGAGGAGCGCCGCCGACGGCGTGCTGGCACCGCCAATTGCGTGGAGGGCGACGACCACGACACCGTGTGTGAGTAGGGGGTGTGGATGCCGACTCGTGCGATGTGGCCGGTGAGCATACTGCCGATGACTGGAGATGGCCGCCGGCCGGAGTCGCGACGACGACAATGGATAGTTACGGTTTCAGATTTTGGGAGGGGGGGTTCCTTTTTTTATTCGAGGGACCGGCAGGTAGGATAGCCAAACATATGGCGCACACGTATGCCATATAGGGTCTGGCGGGCCAACCCCAATGCATATGAAAGTGTGTATGTTTTGCCAAATTCCATATTGCCTTTTATACATCTTTTTGGAGGGGGTTGTATGGAAGCAGCAAGGCTCATTTAAATTTAGATAGATAGGCTCATAAAATGTGATCCAACGTTGGAGTTACCATCAAAATCACCTCAGCTTTGGCCTCACAAAGAAGAAACAATAATTTTACCACTAGCACACTTTTTCTTTTGAAGGAACTGGAAACCTCTCACATCGGACCAATAAGGACACCAGGCGCACATTGCACGAGCCCCACCTACCGACTCCGGTCAAAAAAGCGCGCGGCAGCCCTGCTGGATGCTGATGAAACAGAAACAGTGAAAAATCCCGCCCCACAAATCAAGGGCGTGTTTGATTGCCCGCATCAAGCCCAACCAGGCCCGCGCGGGAAGCGAACGGGCTGTTTGGTTGCCTGGTTTTACTATTGGGCATGCATAGCACGAAACATAAAGCACCTCTGGGCCTGCCTTGCTGGGAATTCAGAAATCGGCAGTTTCTCCAGGGCCAGGCCCGAGTGGTGCACGTGGGCGGGCGCGGCTGCACGCGCGCGACCACCCTCGAGAAGCCGCTTTGCTTCCCGAAGCACCGGTAGTTATTAGCCTCACCGCCCCTCACCGCTCCCTCTCCCCACTCTTCCCCACTCTCCCAACTCTCACCGGCGGCGGCGGATCGGAGTAGAGGAAGAAGACCACCAGACTCCATCACCGGCGGCGGCGGATCGGAGCAGAGGAAGAAGACCACCGGACTCCATCAATAGCGGTAAGCACTTCTCTCTCTTCGACATGCACGCTAGATTCGATCCACGGCGGAGGGAAATGGGGAATAGAGGTAGATAAGCATAGGGGTAGTTCATACTAGTTCTAAGCAGTTCATACGAGTTCACACATGCAAGATCCGAATGCATAAGGTAGATTTCGGGATTGGGGGATAGGGAAATAGGGGGAAAGGCGGTACACAACGGACACCGGCTGACCGCGGCGACCGTCACCGTCGTGCGGAGCGGCTGGTCGAGCCGCTGGCCTTCATCTTCTTCTTCATCGCCGTGCGGGCCGGCGGGTCGTCCTCATCGTCCTCGGCGGAGTCCAGGTCGATCTGCCAGGCAGGACGGACTGGCTCCGGCGCCCTAGCTGGCATGTGCATCGCCTCTTCTTCCTCCTCCTTAAGCTCTCCGCCGATGACCGCCAGCGGCGTGATAGCTGTCTCCCAGTACACTGCGGCGCGCCGGTCATTAGGAGCCCATTAGGTCTTATACTTGCGCCACTTCTTCCTCTGTTTAGGGTCGTCGGAGACGGCCTGATTCATGGCCCAACGAATGATGTTAACTGCCATCGCGCCCTTCGCTGGGTCGGGAATTAGCGTCTTCAGCTCTTCTTTACTGGCCTTCATGACCACGGCATTCGATTCGTTCTGCATGTCAGCCATGGAGCCGAAGTTCGAGCACACCTCCATGGTGTTCTCGAACTTGGTCCGGTCACTAGCCGTCCACCCAAGGAAGAAGGCCCTCCAGCCAATACCCCAAGGGAAGGGGTTGGCATTGGAGCTCGAGCTCGAGCTCATGGCGATGGGGAGGAGGAAGGTTGACAATGAGAGAAGAGAGGGGGTGGGTAAATAGTGATGGGCAGGGTGAGTAAATATAGGGGGATGAAGAGGAGGAGAAGAGTGACAGGCATGCCGTTTTTACTACAAGCTCTTGAATTAGCCATGAACTCTGTGCAATGCTTGACTCCATGACTTGTGTGCAGATCGAGGACACGGAGGTGCTTCCGGCCGTTGACAACAAGGGCAAGCAGCCCCCTCACCCAATGTCCGACGAGATTGAGCTGCCGCCCACCGCCGAGGAAGACCCGAAGACGCCTGAGGGTGTCGACGGCGAGGGCATGGAGGAGCCCCCCAGCAACAAGGGCCGCAACTACGGCCACTACCATCAGGAGGATGACCCAACTCACTTCTGCAAGGTCATCCTTGCACCGAAGCTCAAGTGCATCCCCATACCCCTGGACTTCACCAAGCACTTCGTCCCGGTGCCGACGGAGTTCAAGTTCAGGAACAACACCGGTTGCTCCTGAAAGATGACGGTCAAGCTGATGAACGGCAGTGTGACACTAGATCAGGGTTGGGCCACCTACGAAGCCGTTCATCAGATTAAGATCGGCTACATGGTGACGTTCAAGCTCCTCACTCCCGACACCCTCAAGGTCATCATCTTCGACGACGATGACATTGAGGTCGTCAACAAGTGCGGGAAGCACGACGACGCCTTCGCGCCAAGGAGTAGGGCCGGGCCACCTCTTTCGAGCGTACTATCAAATTATGCTAGTTGATGGTTTATGCGTTGAACTGTTATATTTGTGGTACTGCTTATATCTGAATTATGTTATGCTCTGTTTATAGTCTGTTTTGCTTATGATGTGTGCTGCCGAAGTGTGGTGGTAACCTCACCAACTAGCCAAAGAGATTACCACACATCAGACCTTGCATACAACCAAACATCATGTTTTGGATTTGTGGACTACAACCAACCAAACATCAGGCAGTGTGTTTCAATCCATGCAGGCAACCAAACAACATGCATATGATGTATTTGAGGCTGCATTTGCATAATCAGGCTGAGTAGAAAAGTGTATGGGATGCAGGCACTGTTGCACGCGGCAACCAAACACGCCCCGAACGCCCCGAGCGCCCTCCCGGCATCCTCTGTCCCTCACTTCTCGCAACCCAAATCGCTGCAGTCTCCCCCGGGTGCGGCGACGACGCAGGAGCTGCCGCCGGCGATGTTCCTGGAGCAGGTCCCCGCACACCTACGGGGCGAGGTTCGCCGGAAACGCCTCCTCTCTCGGCCCTCGCGGCCGAACGTCTCGTTAATTTCCTCCTCCTCTGTGCTTTGACGGGCGTGCGACGTGCGTGCGTTTTGCGTCGCCAATGCAGCGCCGATGGGGTGATGGTGTGATGCGCGATCTGGACATCTCCATGCGTGACCAGGTACGTCCGCACTGCTACTGCTGCTCTTCCTCTTGTTCGTAGAGCCCGGTGCTTGATGCTCTGGTTATTGATGGCGGCGGGTTCCTGATTTGGGGGGCTACTGCTGCAGGGCCCGGTGCGCTCGGTGGACGATACGCTGTTCCAAAGATGCAGCTTGGTCGCGTCCGTGGCACGCATCGCGAGCGGCGCGGCATCAGGCGTCGGTGGAGGATTGCTCGCTCTCTGGTTTGCGACGGGACAAGGTGAATCCTTTGTCGATCTACAAGTAACCGATTGCTTGATTTGTTGTGGCCGTAGCAAATGAGAACCAATCACCTGAAGTTTTTCATGCGAGATACAGTACAAATTTGTGTTAAATTCTGTATGAAGGTAGTACTACCTCTTGTTCGGTTTAGTTCAAAAGAAAAACTGCATGTAAGAATGTCTTAGCAAACATACACGTTAAGAGATATATATACCAGTTTTGATACAAATTTACCAATGTTGTGGATATGTACACGGTCTTTGCTGTTATGCTCTGCATATAGAAATGATAGAGTGAACTTGTATTATACCTGCAGAATGAAAAGAGTAGACTTTTATAAAATCGCGATATTACGAAAATAGTTTTCAAGCAAAACCCAAAAGGTGTTAGTTTCACGCCACCAAATTGAATATTTCCTAGTACAATGCGAAGCTAGAGAAGTTTGATTGTATTTGTAAGCACAAAGATACACCGCCTATTTAGGAACAGGGGTACTTAGGCCCTGTTCCGATCCCCTCCGCTCCCCAACTGCTGCTCCCGGAGCGGAGGGAGCGCCAACACAATCGTGCGGAGCATCTCGAACCCAGCTCCTCGCGCGGAGCGGAGTCGAGAGTCCGGAGAGCTTCCAAACAGGCTCTTAGTTGTTATGCTTGTTAGCCTATGCTCCCACTCATTTAGTAAGCTATTCAGAACAGAATACCACCTCAATCGAACGCCTATTTCAGTTCAGGAAAAATGAAACAAATATCCTCGAGTGCACAGGTGTTGAACAGAGTAAAGCTACACAACTATGATTGTTGAGTTTGCTGCTGCAGGGACTCGCCGTTGGTATCATACATGCAGATGCTTACTTATACTCTTTTGTGCAGTTCAGAAATTGCTTGGGGTTCCACGTCCTCCTGGAATACTGATGTTGGGCTACGGCTGCGGTAAACCCAAAGGCTTTTAACCTGCCACTGGCCCCTGTAAATTAATATTCATAGTGATGTCTGTAAAAGCATTTTATGTTATATATGCACTAACAAGTAGAACCTTTCAAATTTTGGGTTTTAACTGAACCTGCTAGCGTGTTCCAGCTTCTAGTTTGTGCCATAAAGCATGATCTGGACACGAACATGGACTCAACCTCAGAAATCATTTCATGGTTGACTCTTTCTTTATACCGTGTCCATGAACCAAAGTTTTGTCTTTTGCACTGGAAGTGCTAATTCGATGAAGCTATATTTCAGGTTGTTTTTCCTTGTACATGAAGATGCAGTATTATGACCTCCAGAAGGATTTTGCTGCAATCGTTTTGGAGCATGGAGAAGAACACACGAAGAGGGAGCTAGCTAAAATGTACAGTTTGTGAACTAATGACGCTTTACATCTTTTTCCTCAATATCTGACAAGCCTGTTTCAACTAACAATTTGATCCATTCACAGAATACTCAATAACCATAGCACTGACAAATCACTGGTTGAAGTTCTGAAGAGGCACTATGTAGCTGATCATCTGTTGAGTGATGAGCATCAAGAGAAGCAACTTTTCAGGTGGCGCCAACGCCATTTGTATGTGGACAGCGCTTTTATGGAGAGGTTGAAGGAGGAGCTTATAGAAGTGGTGAAGAAGAAAGTTATAGAAAGGGTGGAGAAGTCTAAAGCAAACAACGCCGATGGTGAGGCCGAATCAAGTGCAAACGTTGTAAGTTTAGTTTTATTTGCAGCTTGTCAGATCCAAATAATACCCCTTAACATCGGTAGTACTACAAGAGGTCGGATAGCCAAATTAACCAACAGTAACTCAGTAAGTGCCTGCTTCTATGTTCACGTTTGCAGGGATTATTTGAGGAGGATCCACTGGCTTGTGTGCTTGGCACTCCAGACAGCAACAGGAAGATGAACATGTTGCACACAGGCACTATCCTGACGAGACGGGAGCTTCTCATCGAAGAAGTTACTGGCAGCATCATCTCCGACATCCTGAAAACTGCCCCCATCTCCGACATGCTGGAAATTGCTGCATTATGATGAAGCCTTGTCGGCGTCGTGGACAAAACTACAGTTAAAACTTTCAGGTGTGCGTGCAACTTTACTTGGCATAGTTGCAGGTTGCGTTATGCGTGCGCGCACGCAATTCAACAAATGGACACGCGTTAGATTCGGTCGAAATTCACAGCATGCTCTCGCAGAACCGTGGGTTCGTTTGCTGGATATGCTTGCTAATGAACACATTTCTCGTTCCCCCGATGAGGTGTGGTCGGATTTGTTGGAAATATGAGCAATTTACCGAATGATTTTATTAATAGAAATACTAGATACAATATGACTATTATAGCAGGGATAAAACAAGTCATGCAATCTGACACAGAGAAGGTAAATGGCATCTGCATATATGAACTAGAACGGAACATATCTAGAGCAGACACTAGAGCAAGAAACTGTGGCAGAACCTTAAACAGAAAGAGTATGAGAACGCACGGAACAGCGGCAGAAGCACTGCTCTTGGGGTCGACGTCCTCGCCGGCCATGTCATTGAAGAGGTTGTCGATGTCGGGGAAGAAGTCGCCGTTAGAAAAGTGGCCGTCGGTGTCCAAATCGTCCGTGATGAACCAGTTAGTAGTCGCGCAGAGCGCTCCCCAAAACCTTATGACCTTTCTCCCGTACAGGACTCAAAGAGGTTGGGTTTTGGAGGTCTACTGTCCCGACCTGCGGTGCACACCGCAAGCCGGGATGGGGAAAATCGCAGGAGCAGCTTAGAGATTGGAACTCGGTGGCGAGAGGAAGAGGATGTTCTGCTGTGTCTCTCTCGAAAGGAGCGACCTCTCTTTTATAGGCACAGAAGAAGCTGGCGAACGGGCAGCGACAGAAGGTGAAACGAAGAGAGGGAGACGAAGTGAAACAGCCAGCAGCAAAAAAAATTTCAACTTCCCTGCAACCTTTTGTATACCAGTCGTGTGGCAAAAAATTTAGACATCGGCTTGGCTCATTCCCGCAACCCGCGGCGCGACGTGTCGTGACGAGGCGGACAACGGAGGAGGGGCGTGCGTGAATGTCTTTATTCTCATTCTCATACATGTGGGGAAACAACCACCTTTATAAGGAGGTCCGACTTCCATCAAACTGGCAATGTGAGACTAAACTTTGGTTCCTTTGATTCTAAGGAAAGTCAATAGGATTTTTAGAGGTTCAATCATTAGAATTGTTTCCCCTGTCTCTCATTTGATTCATAGGATTGAAATCCTTAGGATTTTTTTCAAGGATTGCATTCCACTATGTTTTGGAAGAAATTTTCGCTCAAAGCTCTTGTTACAATTTCCTTGTCTTATGTGTGATGTCAAACATTCACTGGGGCAAGTTCCTGTAGTTTTCCAATCTTATACTTGGATTCAAGAGGACATGACAGTGTTATCTTGTGTTTTTTCGTATTTCTGAATCTTGCGAATCAAAGACAAGGCGGCCGCTGCTCCTGGCACTGCAGACGAAGGCGGCGCAGAGCTGTATGTTCAGAAACTTGTGATGTTCAGGACCGTCAGCAGGGAGCTCCTCAGGATGGATTTCATCCGCGGCCACTGTATGTATGGCCTGTAGGCTGCATGTATGTGTGTTGTGTAGGCGAGTTAGCTCACCAAGTCGTATTTTTACAAAGATTTAGCCACTCCATCTTGTATGTGTGTTTTTATAGGCTGCATGACAAGGGTTCGGCGAAATGCATAAAAAAGTAAGTTTTTTTTTTCGAAAAGAGAGAGCTTCCCAGCCTCTGCATCAGAACGATGCATACGGCCACCTTAATAAAAAGTAAATAGGTTTAACAAAGTCTTATAATCTCAAAAAAGTAAAAAAAAAAAACGAGCAGGCAGAGCAGTTTGCCCCCAATGACCTCCACTAGGTGAGACCACTATCTCATCTCTACGTCGTGCCGGGGATCGAGCCAATGATTGAGGGTTGAGTTATGTGATCATGTTGTCTCTGGTGACCACCACAATCTTGTGATTGTGATTATCCTGTCACAGAGAGCCAAATGAAAAAGGCTAAAAAAAGCCACAACTGGCTGGCACAAAAAAGATAGGAAAATTAATTACCTATCCTATTACATGATCATCATCCAAACCAGTTGAAAATATCCTGTGCTACCATCTTTCACCGGATAGATCCAGTAACCAAACGCTCCCTGGCATCCGTCGGAGTGAGTAGCGACCACATACGAATCAACGCAGTGGCCCGGAAGATAACCTGCAAAAAATGAACATTTGATATTCTGTTAAAGACCAAATCATTTCTGCAGTTTCAGACCGCCCACAATAAAGCACATACTTCTATGCAAATGTGGTTCGCTGTTGCGGACTCTATCCCGTTAAGCCACGTTCTAAATAACGTGCTTACAAAACTCGGAGGAGTAATGCTAAAAACTATGTGCACCGTCCGTCATAGAACCTTGGCCAACGGGCAATCCAAAAAGAGGTGTTTGATAGTTTCATCCCGACCACAAAAGCTACACCTAGTAGGTCCTGTCCAGTTACGCTTTGCCAAATTGTCCTTAGTTAAGATGACTTGTTTATGTACAAACCACATAAACACTTTAATTTTCAACGGAACCTTGACTTTCCAAACATATTTGGAACTAGGAATGGATCTAGAATTAATAACATCAAGATACATTGATTTAACTGTAAACTCCCCAGTCCTAGTAAGCTTCCAGTGCAACTGATCGGGCTGTTGAGACAGCTGAACCTCCATCAGTCTACTCACTAAATGGAGCCACGCTTCCCAACGATTGCCAACTAGCGTCCTTCTGAATTGAATATTAAGGGGGGCGGACTGAAGTACCGTTGCAACATAAGCATCACGTCGTTGAACAATACTATAAAAAGACGGGTATTGAAGTGCGAGGGGTGTCTCTCTTAGCCAAGTATCCTCCCAGAATCACGTGTTGGCGTCATTTCCGATAATAAACTTTGTCCTATTGAAAAAGGCTGATTTAACTCTCATGAGCCCTTTCCAAAAAGGCGAGTTCGTCGGCGTCGCTGTCACCTGGGACAGAGTTTTGGAATGAAGATACTTACTACGGAGAATTTGCTCCCATGTGGCCTTAGTCTCAACAGATAACTTATACAGCCACTTGCTGAGAAGACATATGTTCTTGACTTAAAGATTTTCAATGCCAAGTCTCCTTGGTCTTTTGGTCAACAAATGATATCCCATTTGGCGAGTCTGTATTTTCTTTTTAACTCATCACTCTGCCAGAAGAAACGGGATCGATAGAAGTCCAGCCTTTTCCTTACTCCAACTGGAACGTCGAAAAAAGACAAGAGAAACATAGGCATACTCGTGAGAATCGAATTAATAAGAATTAATCGGCCTCCGTATGACATGAGCTTGCCCTTCCAGCAATTCAGTTTCTTCTCAAATTGATCCTTGATGTACTTCCATTCTCTGTTTGTCAGCTTACGATGGTGAATTGGTATACCTAAATACGTAAAAGGTAAAGTCCCCAATTCGCATCCAAACAATTGCTTATAAGCCTCTTGTTCGTCATCCGCTCTTCCAAAACAGAACAATTCGCTTTTATAAAAGTTAATCTTTAACCCGGTCAATTGTTCAAATAAGCATAACACCAACTTCATATTTCTCGCTTTCGCCAAGTCATGCCCCATAAATATGATCGTATCATCGGCGTACTGTAGGATAGAGACATCTCCATCCACTAGGTGAGGCACCAGGCCACCCACTTGACCAGCATCCTTAGCCCTTTCTATTAGAATTGTCAACATATACAATGTTGAACAAAATAAGAGACATCGGGTCACTTTGTCTCAGGCCCTTATGTGTCTGGAAATAATGACCTATATTGTCATTCACTTTAATTCCAACACTCCCTTTTTGTGTGAAAGATTCTACCTGGCGTCGCCAGGCTTCATTGAAACCTTTCATGCGTAAGGCCTATTGAAGGAAAGGCTATTTGATTTTATCGTACACCTTCTCAAAATCCACCTTGAAAACCACTCAATCTAGTTTTTTCGAGTGAATTTCATGGAGCGTTTCATGAAGGACCACAACCCCTTCTAGGATGTTTCTGTCCGGCATGAAAGCTGTTTGGGAGTGCTGCACCACAGAATGCGCAATCTGCGTGAGCCTATTAGTCCCAACCTTGGTGAAAATTTTGAAACTAACATTAAGAAGATAGATCGTCTTGAACTACTCAATCCTCACAGCCTCTGTTTTCTTAGAAAGCAGGGTTATCGTTCCAAAATTGAGATGAAACAACTGAAACTGTCCAGAGAATAAATGATGGAACATATGTAACAAACCCCCCTTAATAATATGCCAGCACTTTTTATAAAACTCCGCCGGAAATCCATCCGGCCCTGGAGCCTTATTATTTTTCATCTGTGAAATAACTTCAAAAACCTCCTTCCACTACAAAAAAAAGACACATCCGTGACATTTTGGGCCGAACAAATTTTTTTCTGTCATACATATGATACTTCTATGACGATAATTGTGACAAAACCCGGTATCATCATAGATATGGTGGGCTCCTACTTCTATGTCAAAAAATCATGACATAAAATGGGCTTTTCATCCTGGACGGGCCGGAGACGCAGCTGCATGACATTCTTTGGGCCGTCCATGACGGAAAAAACCATGGTAGAAGTGAGGGGGAGGAAAATTTCGGGGAGTTCCCGATTATGGTGGGAGGTCGGAGGCAAAGCGATGCGCGTTTCTCTCGTACACGTACGCGCGTGTGTGCGAGGCATTGGCTCTAACTGAACCCGAGCGAGGCGTTGGGCTCTAACTGAACCCGAGCGATTGCACTGCAGGCTACGCGTTACTGAACCCAAGCGATCGATCGATGGATGTTAACTGAACCCGATCGAGCAATTCCTTCGCTACTGCTGCTAACTGAAGCCGATCGATGCTGCCTCTGGGATGAACAGTGAGCGTTGCGGGGGGGAGGGGGTTGGATGAACAGTGAGCGGTGGCGTTGCCTCTGGATGAACAGGACCTCGTGGTGTGGTGGAGGGCTGGAT